TACCCGTCAGCTGTCTCAGGAGTCCCACGAGCCAACCAGGCTCGAAAGGATTCCTTCTTCAGCTTGACGGCATCCCTTACTTCCGGTGTCCACCACCGAGTTCGGGGATTGCCACCACGACAGGCACCGGAGACCTTACGGCCACAGCTCTGAACGGCCTCATCGACAATGGAGGTGGAGAATATGGTCCACTCGGACTCAATATCTCCAACCTCCCCCGGGATCTGGTCAAAGCTCTGCTGGAGGTGAGAGTTGAAGATCTCTCTGACAGGGGATTCTGCTAAACGTTCCCAACAGACCCTCACAATACGTTTGGGTCTGCCGAGTCTGTCCAGCTGGAACTTTACTCCTTGAGAGAGGCTGTTAAAAGCAAACTCACCAGAAAAATGATCGCTTGTTCACACATCAGTGTGATAACAGCTACTAAAAACCACAGAAGTGACTTCTGGGAAAATTTTATTTGATTTGTACTTTGAGATTTTAGTTTGGTTCATGTCCCATCCACCTATCCTGCAACCAGCCAGGGGATGATTGCATCACTATTCACTTTTCAGGAGTTCTTAGCCTGTCCATCATTTACATAGCCGATGGTCATGACTCACACTCCATCAGAAGCAAGCAGTGTTGCCGTGACTCCTGTTGCTAGGACGTTGTCCATGGAGGCTGACTGGATCTCTGTTGCCACAGTACCAGTGTTGACAATGTTCACCTGTGCAATCAAAGGAACAGGAGCTTATAAAGTATATTTTTCTATACATACTTTTATATACTATACAGTAGAGTACATTTCACCATGCTATGATAATCCACACATTTCAGTAATTCATCTTATTAATTATAATTTGATTCTGTTCATGAATGTACTATTAGGAGAAAAGAGCATAGCACTGAAACAAAATACAGATGAGAAATTTGTTGAGATACATTAGCATTCTCAAACAAGTTGATTTATATAGTGGCTTCATGAACTAAGACCAGTAACAGGCTGGACAGAACCCAATCTAAACAAAACTACAGCCAGACTAGTAACTCATGCTCATGTGCAGCAAGAATAAAACCTACTGTACCACATCCACTGTCTAGCTTGTTAGCATGCAGGATCACAGGAATGTCATTTTCCAAGTATGTAATAACATTTTGGACAAGTGTGAATAAAAACGTCATGCTTTTGAAAAGTATCTGATTTGTTAAACATGCTAAACCACCATTATGTTAGTTTAGGCAGCCATTCAGCTAGCATATCCATGTTAAAATAAATAGGCCTTCTGGGAGCTTGTTTCTTGAGCACACACATTTACTGCCATTACCTTTTCCTTTATTTTTAACTGAGCAATATTTCAAGCAAGGTAATGTTTGTCATCATGAGTTCATGCAACTTACCCTTCCTCCAGTGGTGTCTGCCAGTCTCCCAACATCAGCCAAGCGACAGTCTGTCCCTTCAAAGGTCATTACTGATATTATGACTCTGGCAGAGGAAAAAGTTGACTTTATTTAGCTATTTAATTTCACTGCATAGCAATATGCATTTGGTCAAAACCAAGACAAAGATATGAACTGTATCACAACTAGACAACTTTAAATAGCTTGCAGTCATCGTACAACTGTGTGTCTGTGTGTATGGGCTCACCCATTCTTCACAGCCTGTAAAGCCAGCTGTTTGTAGAAATATGAAGTAAGGGGAGAAGAGGGCAGAGAAGGAGTTTGCTCCATCTCACCCAGTCCAATGTTGGCTCTACCATCAGTACACAGAATGACCTGTACAACAGAGAGGATTAAGAACTTCATTACCCACAAGGCTTTGTTCTGTCTGTTGTCAGTCCACACAGGTGGTTTCAACATGGGTAGCATCATTCTTAAGATTGGATGTAGCAATTCAGTAGCCTGAGTCTGATAAAGTGAAATCTACCCTGCTGACACCTGACCAAGAAATAGACAAGTGGCACCAATATTCTTATCTAATTCTCAGCAAGAAAGGAAATAGCTACATGTCCCAAAACAATGGACCATTCCATTAAAGTCCTTTACAATCACTTACCTTAGACCCAGGGTACCTTGATGCCATGGCAACTGAGGCTAATGCTGCAGGACCAAGACATGTTGCCCCATGTTCCCTGAGGCTGGATGTTCAGACATTGGAAAAAAAGGATTATGGTTCTGCATTTTAAAGCATAAAGACCATTTAACGTGACACACAGTATAGATACCGGTTTTCATCAGAATTAATTTGACAGTTCTAGGTGAAAGGTTAACCAATCAGAAGTGTTGTCCCGCCCCCAAGCCCCCC